GACCACCCTAGTGTACTCACTTACAAGTGCATATACATATGTAATTATTATTTCCGATCAAAAATGAATGCAAATACCAACGAAAGTATTTAGTCCACTAGAAGTTTCTGAGTTTGTTTACTCTCAAGCAAATAATGACGGAAAGAATTTTAAATAAACTTTAGTTTTATGTAGAAAATAGCTGCATGAAAGTAAGAAAAATGAAATACATATGTACGTACTATTAAATAAATGTATTTCTAGCTAAACTGGCGCACGAGTATTTACTATTGTGTTTGACTGGGGCTAGGTCTATCCATATATTCGGATATCGGATATCCGTACGGAATCTATTGAGTTGTAAAATAAATAATATAATATCGGGTTATTAACCATTAATTTTGTTGTATGGACACTCGGTTTATATCCCTTTATTTTCTAATCAGATATTCGACCATTCCAATATCCGGATTATCCGAATAGTCAAAAAAAAAAACCGGGTAGGATCCCCAACCTTAGTTTTGACTTATATTACATTATACTTTTAAATAATTTAGACAGATGCAACCGAAATACCTTTGAAATTGATGATGTTACATAATTTCGATGGCTTGCACTTATTATGAGCAATTGCCCCCTTCGATTTGTAAACTTCCCTTTTTCTAATAGGCATAAACTGTAGTTATGGCTTGGTGTACCAAGTTGGCAGAAATGAACTAAAAGCCCTTTGAAATATCTACCAAAAGGGATTGAAATCTGACTGAAGGGATTTGTTTACAGACGGCAATTCTGAATCAAAGTAAAATAAAAAAAAACCAGTCTCTGCCAATAGCATCAGTATCCTTTTTCATTAGACTATGATGAATATGAGACCACATTTACTATTTTTCGAATGAGTTTCATATTATACATACATATGTAAAAGCTCAGTCCGGTGTAAACCAGATACGGGAAAGCCAGTTTATTAGACTAACAAATCCCTCCCTAGGGTATTTCATTCCTCTACACATTCCCATAACATAGCCGATTTATGCAATTTTATATGAAGATATAGCTGTAAGTGTAGCCTGACTTTCATTGCAAGTGACAATAGGGAAGGTTTTTTGCCATAGAGACGGAAATCATAGGCTAAGGATCATAAGCAATCTATGTAAAGACAACCGTTTGGTGTGGATGTGAACGGCTTTCTAGAATTGTGTGATTGCCGCCCTACTTCGATCTGGAATATTTTCTCAAAGATTGTTCTCTCGATTAATTAAACTGTGATGTGGCTGCTTTCGATTTGTTTTTTTCCTACTAATACAAGTCTTAATAAACGAGGCTTTTTAATATATTGAAATAAATTTTTGAAATAAATTTTTGAAATAAATTTTTCTCTGTTATTCCAGAAAAGAAACCATGCAAAATGTCAAAACCGAGACAAATGTGTCAACAAATTCTCACACAAATATTTTGTCAAATAATGAGCTAAACGTTTGAATAAAATTAATAAACTGCCATTATTTCGCACAGAGGTATTCTTCTTCAATCGCTGGATTTACCAACCAACCCTTCTACAAAATTACGCTGTGCGGACTTTTTGTAATTTTCAAAAACTATAATTTTTTTTTTAATTCAAGACCGCAATTTGAAATATTTCTTTGCTAATATTTTTCTATGTGCGCATGAATACATCCCCATACACAGAAAAATGTGTCAATTTGCATGAGCTACGCTACACGTCCGTTCGTCATGTGGTATGAGTAACATTAACGGTAGCCAAAATTACTTTTCGCGGTCAACGGCACATGCTTTCACATTACTTGTTACAACTTGGCGATGAAATCTTTTTTATTCTTTCGACAAAATTTAATTAGCATAATTAAATGAATTTTATGCAACCTTAAAACTTTACAAAGTAAAATCAGAATGCCAAGCGCAAAGATTTTTTTTTTTTAACAAATTTATAGACTTGTTGATACAAAATAGTAAATATTTACACAATTTGTAAATTAATCTTTATATTTTCAATATAAACTCAATTAAATTCGCATTTGCTAAAAAGGCTGACTAAAAAATTTGTTCATCTAATAAAGCCAAATAAAACGATTAGACAATTTATTGCCATGAAATTAACAAAAGAGTTTATTTTACACCTACAACTGTTTTTGTTTGCATCAATTTATTACACTTAACAAATTACAAAAGTCGGCGTTTTTCCCAGAGAGTGAAATCGGCTAAATTATGTCTGTCTTGGACCTAACCTTCCTTTTACTGGAACTCCGTGCATTTATTTTAGCTAATTGTTATTTACATAATAAATATTTAATTCGTGCATTTTTCTTTTCAGGTCAAATGTTTCTTATGAATCGATTTTTCGATGGCGAATTTTTGCAATTTGGCTGGAAAGTTATAAAATATATGGAGGATGATCAAGAAGATCGGATGGATCCCATGATCTACATTTTTCCCAGGATGACCAAATGTACATTTTTTAAATACGGTTCTAGTGGGGAGGTATGTCAAAGAAAAAAATTATTTTAATGCATAAGTAATTCGATTTTTGTTTGTGTAGATGTAGTAAATGTTACCTCTTCCCATATGCTATGAAAAATATCAAAATATTATTTATATCGAACACATTTCTTACAAGTGACTAAGTTTCAAATGAAAATTCTGTAATTTTACTTAAAAATTTGCCAACTCTAAGTACACCTGACTTGCAAATGTAAAATTTTAGTCAGCGGAGGGTCATACAGCCGTATAGAAAATGCTCTTTATCATCCTCATTCTCAAAGCAAGGTGTACATCCATCGTTTCCTTGAATATTATAAGGCCTTGTACCTTAGTCCTGCCCTGTATGATAAGGCCAGTTTGGCCTTTCCCGGAAACCTTGGTGGTTTTTCAGATTTCGGGATGAGGTATTTTCATGAGATCCGTAATGCACCTGACAGTTACCGATATGCTTGTTCCAATAATTGATTCAGGACCAAAGAATTTCAATTTGCCAGTTCATTAGCCAGTTTGTTGCTTTGAACACCTCAGTGTCGCGATACCCACATGAGATCAAGCTCGCACCATTTTGCAAAGGAGTTTAGGCTTAACTGACTTTCCTGCACAATTCTTAGGAGGTAGATGTTATCCGGCTCCAGTGCCATTTACAGTCTTGGAGCCGTTGCTATATTATTTAAGGATTTTTCATAGATCTCTCCCAACCTTTGTCATGATACTGGAAAGACCAATTTATCGATCACAGAATTCTATCCATATCAAGATTTTTCATTTACTTCATGCCGCAGAGCTGGTTAAGTTAAAGACCACTTCAAAGCAAAGCAAAGATTTCTATTGCGTACTCCCCTGCTTTCAGCTGCACTTCCGTCTTTATTTCAAGGTCAAGTAGAGCTAATTCATAAGATTCTCCATACTGGTATCTATGCATTTTCGTGAGTACTAGTAGGTCTGTACACCAAAACTTTTGGTCTAATCTACTTTTCAACCGTGCGCTCCAGGTTTGTAGAATAAATGATATCAGACTGATAGACTAGGAGATTTGTGATCGCGAAATTTTGGGGCTTTGATACGCTTTGGTACCTTGCTCCGAAAGGTGGGTAGTTAGTCGAATGCCAGACAGCTCGTCTGCCTGCAGTTTATTCTGGTTGAGGATTTTCTTCCATAAATATATCTATACTATACTACTATAAACTTCCACATATCTGCCTGAGTGTGGAAAGAACCCGCTTCCCGAAGTGGTAAGAGACCAGTTAAATTTTCTAAGAGACTCAAGCCTAACCTGGCAGACTATTTTTCCAACTCAGAGGTCAGAATTTAACCGTTTAGATGTTATTTCAAATCAAAGAGCTGTATTTGATTTATTTATTACTTTTTGAATATCAACTTATTTACGAGTATAAAATTTATAAATATTTAATATTACATAAAAATGAATACGTAAGAAACTTTTCCGTGAATTTTAATATTTTTTTTCTTTTTCTTTCTTCAGGTGGAGAAACACGATGCCATTTGCATATTGCCATTAAATGTTGTTAATGAGAAAATTTATATTTTTCTTTGGTTTTGGTTTATACTTTTAACGTTTCTAACACTATTAACGTTAATATACAGGGTGGTAATTATATTTTCACCACGTATGAGGGTGTACTTGTTTCGTATGCGATTTAGGTGAGTAAATGGTCTTGCATATCAACATTAAATTTAAATAATAAGCTCTATGACCGGTTTTTTAGAAACAGTTAAAATTTTCGCGTTTTCTGCATCCCTGACTCTAACAAACATTTGAGGTCAAACACGTTTTCAGCTACGACTGAGAAACCGGTCATTATTTACCATTTTAATTATTAGTTTTCCCGCTTTCATCTTCCAACCAATTTGCGAACTAATGCTATCTCTTTCTTTCGTTAACACAGGTTAGTGCGTCGAGACGCTATTGAAATAATCGTTCGTCGTTCGAAGATGGGCGATTGGTTTTTATTATACTTATTAGGTGAAAATATAGATACAGTTATATTTCGTGATGTTGTACAGGATTTAGCCAATCGTTTAGGACATAACCAACACCACAGGGTGCCTGGACTGAAAGGTGAAATACAGGATGCATGATATTGGGAGTATTAGAAACAATACAAAATGCAATTTGTCGTCTCAATATAACCATCACCAACAACAACAACAACAACAATAAAAACACCAAAACCGCTTTAGCAACAGCATCAGCACCGGCTTCAAAAAAAAAATCTCACTAACGCAATAAAAACGAAAAAAAACAACGGAAAAAATTTCAAAAAAAAGCGAAAACACATTTTGGCCATCGATACCACACACCGCGCATAAAATATTCTGCCATAATCACGTTCATCTTTTTTAGAAAAGTATATTACAATATAAAGCCACTTGTGTGCGAAATCAACGATTTTAGACTAACCAAATTTAACAAAAAATAGTGTGTATGACAGCGACGAGACGACTTGTGTAAACAAATATGTATATGTGTGCGAATGTGCGTGTGTGTAGACAACAGAATTAAGCGTAGCAAACGTAAGGAATAGCGATTAAGCGTGTGTTCGAGCAGAAGATCTCACCAGCATCCGTAAATCATCAGACGCACCACATACTAAATACTCATTGCTTGTCATATCATATCAACAACTATCGAAAAGGAGTACGACTGAGACGACACCCGCAAAAGATTGCATTTTTGTAGTGAACCAGCAAGGACAGCAAGTGGGCTGTGTGGCCGCCAAATAGACAACAGGCAATAGGCAACAGGCCATGGACCACCCACCCAGCTAGTCAGCAATGCCCTAAAGACCGCAATATCATGAAAACAACAACAACAACAACAACAACAATGCATACATATGTACATATTATTTAACAAACAAGGCACTAGATGTATGTACATGTATGTATGTATGTGTGGGCGCGGCCGAAGGAGGAGTAACGACGCGTTTTTATAAAAAAAAGTCTACTAAAAATAAACCAACCAAAAAAATCGATCATTACGCAGCCAACATAAAACATACAAAACTAAAATGCATAGCTGAACATACATACCTACATACATACATACATACATACATATTTTATATAAAACTGAAAAAGAAAAAATCCATAAACCAAAAAAAAAAATAACAAATTCCAATATCATAAGCAGAAACATTATTAGCATAACAACGAGAAGGACATTAGCATAAATCAGTTTATACACAGTTAACCAGAAGAGCATTAGGCCAACTGCATACAGTACATACATACAAACATACAAACTTACAGAGAACAAAACAGTAAACGAAGTTTCATTAAAGTATGCGATTACATTTGGAAGTTTTACGAAATATGCAAAATAGTCATAAAAACTCATTGAACTAATTACATAACATAAATACATACAAACAAGTACATAATGCAGCATACACATACACATAAACAATAAGAGAGAACATACATATACATATACATACATACATACTCGTATATAGCGCGCCTCATTAAGTAACCGAGAAAAGTAGCATTTAAACTGAAGACATACTCGTACGCTCGCTCGTACATGGAAACTTGCATACATACATACATACATTAAGCTAATATATAATTACATTAAGTACATTTATTATACATAAATAGGAATTTAATAAAAAAAATTTTAATTAACTAAAACGAAATACAGCAAAGGTATGAATGCAAATGAATACTCGTATGGAAATGAGACAACATTACATATACATATATATCATTACAAAGTAGTTGTGCAATTGAGATGTAAATACATATATAAGTACATAGACACATACATACAAACATATGTATGTATAAATTAAACGTATTGTCAAGAAAATTATGTATTTAGCTAGCTAGTGAAATACCTAATACATATACATACATACATACATTACATTGTATGCATGTTATGTATGTATACGCCAATTAACCATTAAAATAGAGACATCCATACATCTATACATAAATATAATATAAATATTGCTTAAGTTCATTCATACATACTTACATACATATATCTATATTAATACATAGATACAAAACACACATTATAGTGAAAAGAGAAATACAATAAATGCGAAAATGAGCTGTTTTTCACCACAGTATACATACGTACATACATACATACTACTTATGTACATACATATGTAGTTATACATACAAGTAAAAGAAAAATAAGATGTATGAAATTTATGACTTACAAATAAAATTTACAAGTACGAGTGAAAATTTAAAGCAACACAGTTAGGAAAATAATTAATTAGCAAATAAAAAAAAATTATTGGAATACCAAAGCTACAAAACGATGAAAGAACTATTTCAATTGCAGGCACTTTATTATACACATTAGTCATTTTTAAATATCAAAGAGATATATTGAAAATAGCCAAAAAATACAAAAAAGAGTGTGTATGCATGTGTANCATACATACAAGTAAAAGGAAAATAAAATGTATGAAATTTATGACTTACAAATAAAATTTACAAGTACGAGTGAAAATTTAAAGCAACACAGTTAGGAAAATAATTAATTAGAAAATAAATAAAAAATAATGGAATACGAAAGCTACAAAACGATGAAAGAACTATTTCAATTGCAGGCACTTTATTATACACGTTAGTCATTTTTAAATATCAAAGAGGTATATTGAAAATAGCCAAAAAATACAAAAAAGAGTGTGTATGCATGTGTAGTGTTGGGCTTGTATGTGCATACATACATACATACATACATATGTAGTTATAAACAGAAGTGCAGTAAGGGCTCTTAACCGGCGTGATCACAGTGCACTATATGCTATATATGTATGTGTAGCACCAATGCTCCATCGATGGCATACATATAAAAACAAGCTCCCTCAGCAGAAGTTGTCTGAATGAGAAAGAAGAGAAATCGTTCACCACTTCCTGTGTCAATGTCCAATACTCCAGACAAGGTGTCTCAAGCATTTGGAATGACGACTTTTTAATACTTTGGGGAGATGGCGGAGGTGAAAATATCGGCGCTCCTTAGCTTCATCCGTTATAGTAAATGGTTTAACAGACACCATACTGACAACATGGAATAACTTTGGTAAAAGGATGTGCACTCATAGAGAGCATAACTAAATGCAATACACCTCAGTAAGAACTGCTTATGACCAATAAAGGGTTGGTAATAGATTAAGTGGATGCTAGCTCATAAAAAAACGGTATAAGAACATGTGGTGTGATCGAGGATAACACCCGTTATACTAGGGTGGAAGGATCAAAGAAATTACTTCCTGAAAGTCTAGATATCAAAAATGCGTTAAATACTGCAGACTGAGCTAAAGCAATCGGCGCATTGCACCAGAAATAAGAAAATCCTCTGCACTGAAAAGGCTCATACGTAGAATATCAAACGTTATTTCATTGATAATATTCCGCACCTAGGCCTAACTCTGATCTTGCTTTTTAATGAGAAATATGTAAGATTAACAAATTAAAAAAAATTTGTATGCATATGATGAGGCTAAATTCGATTCTTTAATGCCTTTTGGTGGTTTGGAATGCAAGTAATCAAATTTACTTAGGAAATATAGATTCAAATCAAAAATGATTCCTACTTCTGCTTTAAGAAATTTCCGTTGGGATCTCAATGTAAATTACTGACAGGCTCTAGGCCGCTTCTTTTGGCTGACGTTAGCCTTAATGTTCCTTCTCGTGTATCAAGAAACTTGTTTCTCATATTCTTAAAAGCATGTAAAATTAACTTTGAATTACGCGATGCTTTCCGTTGTTTAAGCCAGGCTTTTGACTCTCATTCTAGCTCCTTTGATGATATCTTCTCTCAATAAATGATTGACTAATATAATGACATATTAATCAGCTGATAAATTTGGTTTTGTAGCGGAATAGTTTTAGATCTCGATGCTAAACAACCTTTACCTTTCGTGACTCGACGCAATAATTAAGAAAGTATTCCGTAAGTCATGCGGACTGCGCTCCTCGTGTGGATGGGCGGGAGGATGGCAACCATTGCGTGATGGCATTGCGTGAGTCTCAAGACATGTGGGTCGCTTGACGCAATTCCTAAATAGCCATGTTTTTTTTTTTTTTGAATGAAAGCGCTTTGCATGCCAACAAGAAGGCTGATTTTGTTCTCCAGCACATGCGACGTAGCAAAAAAAGTAGTGAGTGGTATGCGACGCGATGGTGCAAACAAAAGATAGACTTTGGAATCTTGAACGGCGAACAAAAAAATCCATTTTTATAACGAGCTTTTATTTCTTGCTACTTTTTGTATTACTGTTTAGGCGACTACTAACACCTAGCGTCTAAATGCATGCTACCCAATAAGCATTTGAATTGGAGATCCAATACAAATTCCAAGGTCCAATGTTATTTTTTAAATGTACCTCATTTGGAGCACCAACCCATTCTCTAACAAAAGGGCACATTTTCTGTATGCAAAGTAATCCGAGTTCTCGACTTGAGAAAAGCTGGACATTAATTTGAATACAATTTTTACTCAAAACTTGGAAAAATTTCTCAAAGATTGGAAAAATGTTGGAAAAATGTTACTTTGTGCTTTAAGAAATTTATGAAATATTTGCATATGAACTTCTCAAACGTCAAAACTTTCTAAAGTAATAAATTGATGGCACTTCAAATAAGTTCAGCCTAGCCCTACGCATTCTCTGATAACTCGTCTGGGGCTTTTTGTGGGCTCCGCATGACTTCAAACCCTGCATAGGTGGTAATTGATGATGGCCACTCTCCACAGTGCCTACCTACCAATTTTTTGATTAAATAAAAAATTTTGTTTTAGATACATGCAACAAGATTTTTCACCTTATTATAGCAAAAGCTTCCCGCATAGTTGGTCACCGTTTTTTTTTTTCAAGAAATAATGCTTTCCACATTTCCAAGCAAATCACCAAATAACATTTCTTTAATAATAAATATGGCATCTCATATGCATTTTTTGCTCACTTTAACAAAGGTTTACGAAATTTCTATAGAAGCCGGGAGTTCATGTATGTATGTATGATCATACACATATATGTATGTTTGTATGTATGTACTTTCGAGTTCAAAAATTTGTAGTTATATTACCAATTTTAATTCCTTTATTAACCATCAATCTGCCCTTTGATTAAATAAATGTTTTTTTTCGTACATAAATTTATACAAGTACATAGTTACATACGTAAAATACTCACATAAACATAACATGATTTTCAAGTATCCGTCCAAATATTATGGTTC